TTTGTGTATACAGACTAGTGCACGACCTACGGAACAGATCCTGTTCGCCCCCAGTAGCGATCCGTAAACCACTGTGAGGCTCCATGGAACCAATGTGGAAGAGCTGTGCCTGTGTGACGAGGCTATGTAGTAGCGGCAGGTCGTGCGCTGATGAAGAGCGAAGTGTGTGACAATCGCCTACATGTGGGCGGAGGTAAGTCCCCTGAGTGCTCTTATGTGTGGTGTGAGCGAGTAAGGACACTACATCCATGCAGTGGTGGGTTGGATATCATGTCTTCCTAAACCCGAAAGGGTTTTTTAACCGTTACTGTGAATCCAAAGACCGCACTAAGCGAAATTTCCACAGCAAATCAAACAAAACCGTACTAGTAAAGAGTCAACTGACTCAACTCCATACTGTACATTTTCATTTTCAGTCACATCCACTCCACCACACCACCATGATATCCACCCCACCACTGCATGGATGTTGTTCCCCTCAGGTTGTGTAGAGTAAAACCTGCTTCCATGCAGTGGTCGGGTGGATCCAAGGGAGTTGTTCCCCTCAGGTTGTGTAGAGTAAAACCTGCTTAGGCTACGCAGATACCTAGACCCCTCTCCGTTTACTGGCGAAGTAGCCAGTGCTTTCCAAATTACCAGGTCTCTTTCGAGTTAAGAAGGTACTATGGGTCCTCTGACTTCCAGTAAAAAAATTATTCGACTGGATCTCGCCGGTATCTCCTACCTATAGGCTGTAGCGCTTCAAGGTGTCGTTTAGTCGTCTGTCCCCAGTACGATGCGATAGGTGATCTTCCCCCCCATGGGTATGTAGTATTTCACCACTTGGACTAAGGCCTTGCTAGTTCTGACCAACAGCAGGCAGAGGGCCGAAGCCCAGCGTGCATTTGCGTGCTTCCCCAAGTGCACAAGGCCGAAGGGCTGCAGGGTATGCTTTCCCGAAAACGACCACTCTTCGAGCCGCATCCAGGGGGCTTGCATCACAGCTCGAGGGGGGGGGAAGGGGGTGTACATGGGTTTTAAAGGGCGGGGGGAAGGGGGTGTACATGGGTTTTAAAGGGGGTTGAAAGGGGTTTCGACTTCCGAGGGGGATGTTTTGGTTTGATTTTTTGTTTTCTCTTTTTATTTGCTAATTTAAAAGGAATTCTGAAGTGACCCTCAGCCAAAAGTTGGTTGCATCCTAATGCTTGAAAACATATTGTTTTTACAGATTTTGTTTCTTTTTTTTGGGGGGGGGAAGGGACCACCAAAGTCGCTACCAATTTACTGAATATAACACCTGAACGCTAAAAACGAGGCGGGCGTTATATTTGTATACAGCCCCCGGGCGGGCGTTATATTTGTCTACAGCCCCTGGGCGGGCGTTATATTTGTATACAGCCCCCGGGCGTTATTTTCGGGTGAGTACTAAACAAATAAAACGAACTGACAGAAGGTTCAACAGGGATGCCAAAGAGAGCCAAATAAGACACACACACACACACACACACACACACACACAGAGAGAGAGAGAGAGAGAGAGAGAGAGAGGAACCAAGCGTGCGCAGTTCATCTCTGAAAGTCCAAGTTTGAAGTTTGAAATTTGAAATTTGAATTTTCAAATTTGAACCAAATTCATTCCAGAGCAAAACAGAGGTAATAGACATGCAGGGCAACCCCAGCACCTTGGGCGAGGTCCCACTAGGAAAGTGGATTGGATTGAATGCCTGAATCTGGACGTTTTCATGGAGAGGTGCAGATAATCGAGCTTGAACTGCATTTCTGCATCTGTGCATAAAAAAACACATCCAGATTCAGGAGCTTAACCCAGTCCTCTTTGCCAGCGGCACCTCGCCCCTGGAATTGGGCCGACCCGCGACCACTGTTCTCTATTGCATTATAAATTCATTTACAATTTTACTTTGTCTTTTCTTTTCTTTTCTTTTCTTTTCTTTTCTTTTCTTTTCTTTTCTTTTCTTTTCTTTTTTTTACGAGTAACATAAGCACTCTGTGTACTGGAGGCGCCGGAGAAAAGCGAAGACAATTGGAAGCACTCTGTGCACGCTGTAAAATCAACCGACATTTTTTATTTTATTTTTATTTCATTTTATTTTTTTAACAACCGACATAACTTCAAAGAAAAAGAAAATCGACAGACATAATATGGTCTGCAAATAAAAGGGCCACCTTCTGCAAGGGGAGAGAGACCACCCACCATTCGGACAGTCCATGTATCAAAATGGACTATGGGCCTCACCACACCACTCACAAAATGAGAAGAAAAAATTGTACATATTGCCACAGGCGGAGGAAGTATACATCTGTTACTATGAAATTAGTATGAATACATTGAATAGTAACGGACGTATTCTGCCACTTCCCTTGGGAAGATGCATTTGTATTTTTTTTCGTTGCGTAGTGTGGCAAGGCCCTATGACTGGTATGACAGCCAGGAAGGACGGAAGGACATGATGAATAATTATAGCTTTGGAATCTTTGGATCCCTGCCATCAGGAAAAAGGACCAAAAAAAAG